GACCTCAAAAGTGATGTACTCTGCACAAGATGTGGATGGATGGGATCGAGATGATTTGAAAGTGTTGAGAATGATGATAGGAGTGAAAGATAGATGTGAGACAGGATGGAAGGGAGGTGTCCACGTGAAGTGGGGATAGTGGATGCCCAAGTCAGAAGATGCCGAATGATTCAGCAAGTTATCAAGCCACAGTGTAACCAAGCAGCACAAAAAGCTTCTCTTCTTCCTCATTTGAAATAAAACACAGAGTATGTATAGTGATTTAAAGTATACAGCAAAGTACAAGCTCAGGATGCCAAAGCGCGTTTGAGAACACTCGGCCATCCGCAAAGCAAAGGTGCCAAAAAGAGGATTCAAACCCTGTGCCATGACGGAAGTAGAGGGATCACACGGCTTGCACGAGAAAACAAGCAAGATAGCGCAGACCAGATGTCCAAGACTGCGAAAAGCGAAGAACAACGGCTATTCTTTTTTTTGTGGCAATTTTCGATGCTGACTTGGCCGGGAGTGACGGCGTCATATTGCATGCTAAGGACAGCTGGCTTGGATGGCTGGCTTTTCGCCTGCTACTATATTGTACTGAGTACGCTGATTTTGAGGCTGTCTGATTCAAATTGATTTTCAGACCAAGAGCAGTTGCCAGGATGTAACATTCAGTTTCGCGGCACAAAATAATCTGTCACACGCCGTCTGAATGCGGGGAAAGCAAATACGTATTTCAGTCCAAGTCGGCTGCTGTGACCGGCATGGCGGCAACCTTGGTGGTGACTACGCCTTGCACTCGATCAGCCTCGCGGTAATATAAAACTTACTACAATACTCCTACGCAGTCGAAAGGGTAGTGTGGTGGTCACACGGCCCTGTCACATGTGCAATCTTAATGAACGTGGTCTGTGCGACCCACAATCCTTTTCTTCGGCACCTCCGCGAATGTTTTGAATGTCTTGCTCAAATTTCGCCTCACTTCTGCCTACCTTCCTACATCATCACGATCCCGCTCTAGCCAGACTTGAAAAGGAAAGGATAGCAAGAAACGATGCCGTCCTTAACGACCATCCTCGTCATTCCCATCACGCTTGCCTTGCTATCGTACCAATTCCTCACCGGCCCCGGCTCCAAAGCGCATGATGTGTTCGGCCTCGGTCGATCCGTTAACTACACATCCCAAGCATGTACTCAGATCCCAGAATTAGAGGCATGCGAAGACATGTGGCTCCACCGTCCCTCTGGACTCCTGTACCTCGCATGCTCCGACATCAAAGGTCGTCTGGCTTGGACACCTGCTATAGACAACCTGGATGTCTCCGGAAGACCCAACTCGGACTACGTCGCCATCCTCAACACTAGAGGATCTGGCTCTATTTCGTCCAGGATCACTAAGGTCAAGCCTGTATCTTACACTGACACATTGAATTTGCACGGCATCAGCGTTCACGAGATCCCAGCCAAGAGTGCAGAATTGAAGCCGACGCTTCGAATCTTTTTGAACAATCATCGTCCTCCGATCGACCCTATCTCAAAGACCGTGCTCGACGCAACCAAGATCGGAGCGAATTCGACCTTTGAGCTCTTCGAGACAACCTTGGGTGAGTCGCGAATGAGACACATCCGAACCTATGTCAGTCCCGCCATCCGCACACCCAATCGCCCCGCCGCTGTCGGTCCGGACAGCTTTGTCTTTACCAATGACCACAAAACCAAGACTGGCGCGTCTAGATTGCTCGATTTCTTCTTGCCCCGTTCCGACCTTGGCTTTTGCGACAAGCTGGGTTGCAAGATCGCCAACCCTGGTCCACTATTCTACCCCAACGGAGTTGTCAAGAGTGCAAAGAACCCCAACATTTTCTACGTCCCAGCATCCTCCGATCCTAACATTCGAGTCTTTGAACTTCAGGCGGACAACACCTTGACTCTCATCGATGTAATCCACACTGGATACCCGAGCGACAATCTCACCGTGGATCAAGATGACAACATTTACACTGCAAGTTTCCCAAATGTTCCCAAGCTACTGGCCAAATTCAAGGATCCTTACAACAAGCACAGCCCTTCCACCGTGCTAAAGATCAGCAAGAACGAGGGCACGGACAAGTTCTTCGGCAAAAAGTGGAACGTAGACAAGGTTTTGGAGGACGATGGGATTGGCATGAGTGGTGCTACTACGGCGATGTGGGATGATCAAAACCAAGGATTCTGGCTGGGTGGTGTGGCCAGTGTCACGTCCTTCTGCAAGATTTAATCTCTTTTTCTCGATTAAGATACATCAGAGGCATCGTAAAACGCATCGATTCTTCTCAACGTACTTTCGAACGCACTTCACTTGGCCAGACTCATGAAAACGAATGCTCGAGTTCCCGTATCCAACCCATGTGAATACGGGAGCGTTACTCATGTCTGTGTACTGTAAATTACATTACTGTACGTGATAGCAGATTCTCGCTCGTTGAATTTCACGGCCAACATCTTTTCTATCGAATCCTGTCCGTGCGACTGATGCGTTCAGTTCTTTCTCGCCAACCCAGGCAATGCAAAGAACTCGAAAACCTTTTCAGCCGGCACTGCATCTCCCCTTCTGCCCTCGAGAGCGCTCATCTTATGCCCTCTTACAACGCCTACCACACTGCCCGTCTCCACATCCACCACTGGCCCACCGCTGGACCCCGGCGGTGGGAAATTGGGAAGAGGCTTTCTCGTCTGACTCTCCACCACCTGCTGTCCCTTTCCGCCGCTGCTTGATGCCGTCGAAGCAACCCGGCCCATGGCAGCTGGTCGTGTGCTTTCGGTCACAGTACTTGACAATCGAAGTGCATAATCACCTTGTAAAGCTGGAGGATTGGCGGGCGAGGAAACGAGAAGCTTGTAATCGAGCTGCGCGAGCTCATCGTACGTTCCAACCATCGCGGATGCTCCACAGGGATCTTTGTACTCGACTAATCTCGCTCTACCCCATCTGCTACGTCCTGCATCGTCACGTTCCAGTTTGACTTTTTCCTTTTCCCTTCCCTCCGGTGCCGCTTGTCCAGCAGCGATGGATAGACTTTGAGCATCGGCATTGTAAGTTTCATAAGCTGGCAGGATCGCTCCAGAATCGTCCTCCCAGCCCCAGAAACTTGACACGCTCAGCTCCGAGTTGATGTGGGCGGGATACGGTGACACGGGGAGTGTGCGAATGGGTTTCGAGGGCTCAGCGGAACCATTCAAAGTGAGCGGAGACGTACCGAGCTGAAGGAGAATGACGTCGGATGTGGGGAGCGATGAGATCAATGTTCGCACCGGGTAGATGCGACCTGTCCTTGTGATGGCCAATGCGATACTGTCCGATGCCGGGTTCGACGTGGTCGGCTCGGGCTGCCCGGCTCGTGGCTCAGCAGCCCTCAGCGTGTGCGCACAGCTTACCACCAAGGCGCCTTTGCCATCCCCATCTTCGGCTGAGATCTTGTCTCCACCTTCTACAGCAAATCCACTGCAGACACTGATCCTCTCACTGCCCCTAGCACCGTTCAAATTTGACACGTACGCCAGCAACAGCACACCATCGTCGTTGGCATCCTTCAACTCGCCCTCGGAGCTGTAAGCCGAAGTGAGCTTGACCTTTCTATCGGGTGCCGGTGTCGATTCATAGGGCAATTCGATGGATAGCTGGTATCCAGCTCTCAATTCGAATCTTTCGAGCAAACTGGTTATCGAGGCTACTTTGAATGCATCTTTGGCCTCCGAAGATCGAGAGTTTGTGGAGGCTGCATACAAGGCTCTCGCAGCAGCAAGGACTCTTTCATCCAGCTCATTCCTCCCGTAAAGCGCATCAATCGGATGGGGACTTTCCCTATCAACAATACTTCGCCTTTCGTCAAGCTCTCGAAGCGGTCTTTTGAACATTTCTTCCAGCATTTCGTCACGAGAGGGGATGGGAATGCCCTTGCGTTCAGCGCCAATGGCTGTACCTTTGATGCGGGCTATGTCGGCAGTGCGGTTGAAGGAGGAAGAGGAGGAAGCCGGGTTGCGAGGAGGATTGCCACGGAGAAGGTCTGAGATGTCGTTTGGGTTCTTTACGCCGAACCGAGAAGGCGTGGAGTAGGAATTGGATGAGGAAGAGGAGAATTTTTGGTCTTCTCGAGGAGGTGGAGGGACAGAAGTGCCTAGGAGGGCATCGACCGAGGAGGAGGGGTTGACGGGAACGGCATAGTTGCGAACAGAGGTGAGGGGTACTGTGTGGCGCAATCCAAGACGTGCTGTCCTGCAGAGCATGTTGTAGATTGCTGCTGTTACGAGTATGATGTTGTTTGTGGTTGGTACGTCTGATGAGGATCGCAACAAAGGGTGCACTCGTAGATGATGTTGCACAGAGATGGTGTCACTTAATCAAGGACCGACAAACGATAAGAGAAGCGTTACATTAAGCGTTGCGTAGGTGCGTGTGAATGACTCTAAGAGCTGAGTCTTATGCAAGTCTACTGTGAACACCTGTGTTTGTGTGGAGGCGCGGCATCTTATCGGCCCTTTCCCATCGAGGCACATCAGCCCATTTCTGCTATCTGTCCATTCACGATTGTAACGCCGCACGTCTCACCTCAATCATGGCCATGAACACTAAAAAGAAAAGGGTCTTGTGTGCTTTTGTCGCTTGAAGTCTCAGGCAGCTTTCAACTCAAATGAACCACTTGAACATAAATCATTGTGTTGCAAGAATCCACATGTTGCAAGAAAATTTCCCCCAACACCATCAAAATAGTATGATATCAATTGCTCCATTCATACCATTGAAGAAATACTTTAACATTGAAACATTGCATTGAAAAAGTGCTCAGACTGTGAAATAAGATTGAAACGCAAACAAATGGATTTTTGAATGGCATACCAGTGTTGAATGCAGGGTTGGTAAGTGGAAGGGGTGAATATGATGCTAGATTGCTTGGACCTGGCAAAGCAGGGTCAAGTGACATACTTGGCATGACCTGGACAGGTGCAATGGGTGAAAAAAGAGCCAAAAATTTCGGGTATGGGGGCCGCTACGAGGATCGAACTCGTGACCTCTTGCATTTCGAGTTCGCTCCCTATAGGAAGCGGTGAAACCCAAAGCAAGCGCGATACCACTACGCCAAGCGGCCATTGCATTGCTGCACCTGCTTGAAGCGGTCGAAACAAACGTACATAAAGCAATTTTTCAAAGGTTTCACACGAAAGGTGAACTTGGCCTGCAACATCGACAGATCTGCGCTTTGAGAACACCAATAATGCCTCTTGATGTGTAGTCTCTTGGATTGATCCCATTGGTAGGATGCGACCTGATATGGACAAATTTGTCGATCTTTCAAAGGCAGATCTGTGATTTTACGGTCATGACGTCCCCATACCTTTACAGTGCGACCCTTCCTCTATGCTCCTATTGCCTATTCAAACACTATACTGTTGCTACTGTGCGGGACTCCTTCATTCACATCCCACAAACGCATGCAACGCTCATCACATAACTTCGCAGGCAGGATGTACTGTGTATGTGTGTAAATCACGATTACAATTCGAAAGCAATCTGGCATTCCTCGGGTTTTAAACCTTCTCCTCACCAGAGCAAACGACGCTCTTCACGTTCCGCCCTTGCGACGCGCTTGTTCAGACCCCAAGATGCCTTTTTCAGATCCTCCTGCTGCTTCTTGACCATCTTGACCGACTCGGGCAGAGGTGCAACGATCGACACAAATAGAGGCGAGCACTTAAATTTTTTTGCCAGCTTCGTCTTGGTATATGTGATGGGATCTTCCTTGCGCAGACGCTGAATGGTTGCGATCTGCTCAGAGGTGATGGCATCGCTTCTTTGAGTGAGTTTGGAGCGCGGGCGCAAGGCGGGTGGCAAATTCGAAGTGTCGTTGGTAGGAACGGCGGAAAGCAGAGGTTGGGCCTGGTAAACGGTGGTTCGAACGGGTGAAGCGGTGGGGGGAGGGCGTACGATGAAGGTTTCACCGCTTGGGAGTGTGTGACGGGTGGCATCCGGAGAAGCATCCAAAGGATCACGCGGGCGGCGGGCGGGGGTATTGCGAAGGCCGACAGTGGTGGTGGAGAAAGAACGCCTCGAGACTGGAAAACCGCGTGACGCGTTGGTGGAGAAGGAGCGTTTACCAGCAACCGCTTCGGGCGAGATGGGTGCAGCAGAGAAGCTGAAGCCCTTTGGTCCACTCCAAGTACCCTTGACGTACGAGTTGTAGTAAACCCATGGGAAAAAGTCCTTCTTCAAGTGGTAGAATGCCTTCCTAGGCTCACTCTGGTCAATCCCGAACAAGTTGCCAAAAGTCTCCTTGGGCTGGCCGCCGTACTTGAATTCGGCTAGCATGACTTTACCGTACTCGGTGAGGAGAGGGCACGATGTGTAGCCGTCGTAGACAGCGTCAGCCTCTTTGCCCTCGAGGGCTTGAGCGAGGTTTCGAACGAGAACAGGCGCTTCAGCGGTGATGGCAGCAGCGGTCTTGGATGTGGGAAGCGACGAGGCGTCACCGATCGACCATATATTGTCGAATCGCTTGTGTCGGGTGCTGCCTTGGTCGACGTCGACAAATCCAGCACCGTCAGCGAGGGCAGAATTCTTGATAACCGCCAGAGGACCCATCTTGGGGGTGACGTGGAGGAGATCGAATTGCTTCCTGACCTGCTCTGCGCCGCCAGGTCGGGCAAATACTGCCTCGTTGCCTTCAATGGCAACCAAGTCGTGCTCGAACAAGCCCTCAACACCGCGTTGCTTCCTGAGCTCGTTGAGCTTTTCGCTGTACTTTGGCACACCAAACATTACAGGCAACCCAGTAGCAAAGTCGATCTTGATGGCCGATTTGGCGGAATCGGTAGGGTTGTAGAGCCCAGCTTTCTTCCAGTGGTCGAGCGCCAGCCACATAGCTTTCTGGGGTGCACCAGCACATTTGATCACCCCTGCGGGCTGGGTGAAGATGGCCTTTCCGGACTTGAGCTTGTTGATGGTATCAAACACCTTGTCGCACGTGTTATATCCATAGATGGTGCTCACGAGGGAGCTCGAATCTTGGAGGGCCTCTGGCAAACCTTTGATCTGATCATAGTTGATACTCAAGCCAGGGACCACGACCAGTTGGTCGTAAGCGATTCTGTTGCCGTTCGCCAAAGTGATGTGGTTCTGTTCGGGAGCAAAAGAGTCGACGGGAGAAGTGTAGTGCCTGAGCTTTGAGTCGAGCAGTGAGGCAAGGGGGCGGCGAAGATCGCGCTTGTCCTTGAGACCACCTCCTACGAGAGTCCAACCGGGTTGGTAGTGGTGCCATTCAGAAGGATCAACGACGGCAATGTCATCCTGCGAGAAAGCGCCGGAGCGGATCAGTTGGTGCGAAACGGCCATTCCGGCAGAGCCACCGCCGATGATGACGACCTTGTGGCTGGAAGATCCAGAGGCAGTGTGCTGGACAGGAGAGTCAGAAACGGTGGCCAATGTGCGGGCGGCTCCAGCGGTGTAGCAGGAGCGCGAGGCCCTCGCCGTGGCGGTAAGGCTTTTTTTGAGCATCGCGTGCATCTTTTTATTCCGAAGCGGAGCGCGGTGCAAAGATGAGAGTGTAAAGATGGCGTATGTGGAAGACGGAAGAGAAGCGAATAGTTCAAATCTATGCTATAGTACAGTAAATTTACAGTATTACCTTCAAGTCACAGAGTATCTCGAAAGGGCAACGCAAAAGTAAGCTCCGCATCGGTTTTGGGAAGAATTGCAAAGTTGAGCTTCTTGATGCCCGCACATAAACGCACTCAAAAAATGGGAAGATCTCGGAGATTTGCCCCGATACCTCTGCAAAATGTACAAGAAAAATTGAGAGCTGCATGAACGCCTCCAAGCACGCAATCTTGCCCCTTTGATTTTCTAGAAATTTGTTCTCCAGAACGGCGTAGCACTCTTGGTTGGATTTTCGTGTTTTGCGGGTCAACACAAGACAGTTGGTTAAACACATCTAACGTAAGATCACGAGAGATTCAGCATGTCCTTCGTTCACACAAGCACAAGGAAAATGAAGCACGTCCAGTGTAAAACTTGAATGCGCTCCATGATATGACATTGGTTTGAGCAGTCACTGTGTCCATCTTTCACTCACTACCATTTGTACTCGCCCGGCAACCGCTCGGAGCGCGAACCCTGTCTATCGCCACCCCTTGGCGTCGCAAACGGTGACGAGACGTATGACGTCGGAGAGGCGGTCGAATTCAAGTCCATATCCTGCAAGCTGTTTGCCAGTCTCTCGCCGCTGTTAGACATTTGCAGAGCTCGGGATTCACCCCCTTGCCCTTGCGATGATGTGTATGGGTCGTAGCTGGCCGAACGGAAGCTCGAAGCACTGGCAGTCCTAGCCGGGCGTAGCAGCGGGCGCACCATCTCGACAAAGAGGGGTAGCATCTCGGGGAGAGCCTTCAGTTCAGGTGCCTTGGGTGCTGGAATCTTTCGTCTCTTGCGAGTCTTCTCCTCACCATGATCTGCATTTGCTAACGCGGCTGGAGGCAGAGGGGGAAGATCTTTCTCGAGCTGCTTGGGGTTCGCTTGAGTTAATGTGTTTTGGCGCGATGGTGTGGGTCTCCATCGTGGGGCGTCTTCGTCATCCTCCTCCCCGCCATCGCTGTCGCTCGAAACTTTGCGATTTATTCGAGGTCTTCCATCGTGCTGATCGTCATCAGAGTCTTCCTCATCCGACGTCTCCATCTCCTCTTCTTCCGCCTCAGCATCAGCTACCTCGCCGGTAAAGATGTCGCCAACACCCAAATTCTCTACCATTGCACCCACGAACGCCGTGTCGTCCTCCTCACTCAGCCCATCTGCCCTGCGCTTCTTCTCCGCGCCAATCAGCTTCCCTGCAACCCCTGCCACTTCGCGGTCGGCCAACTTGCGACGCAGCTTGAGCTCACGCAGAAACTTGAGCCTATACGCGTACAGCACAAGTGAGTCGATTTCGTCCAGAGCCCTCTTTCGTTCCTCGCCGCCAGCAGGCAAGCAGATCTCGAGATCGACCTCTCCGATTCCACCCAGCTGGTCCAGTGCTTTCTCGCCAACCTTCCCAGCTTGTGACACCGCTTCAGCCGATCGCTCGTTGCCTCGTACGAAGTTGATAAACAATTCAATCCAGTGCATGAGGCCGTCGAAAAGCCCGGAGCCCTTCGAGTGCACTTGATGGACAAAGGTGTAGAATCTGCCTTCATGCCTTTCCACGAGATCCACAAACACCTGCACCGTCCTCGTGGGATCTGTGTAGCTGAGCTCTTCGTTCGCTTCCACCGTCTTGATCAAGTCCGTAATGAATGCCTGCATGTCCGATAAACTATCGGCAATATTGGCCAGCTTGTACACCTGCGCCAGGGGCGAGTAGAAGATGGTGACCATATCCTTGAGCAGCTCGGCAGTGACACCTTCAAAGATGAGCGAGATAAGCTGTTCCTTGTCACGCTTGCGAGTCAGCATCTTGATGAGGACATGCAGATCCTCGTACAGCCATGCATCGTCGTCTTGGGGGCCTTCGTCCTCGAGGTCAGGATTCTTGAGACCACGGCGGTACTCTTTGTACACTTCGTAGGCTTGACTTGCTTTGACGACACGGTGGATTTGATTGCGATCGAGAGCGGGGGCCTCGGGGGAGCGAAGGATGGTGGTGAGCAAATCCAGACGCTCCTCTTCCGCATCTTGGCGGTACAGAGCTTGAATCTCGGATGGCGCATAGACAAACTGGCGCACCTTGTCGCAGATGGTGGCATCGTTCACTTTTGCCGAGATGGCAGCACATACTTCGTCGAGCTCGCGCACCTCGTCTTGGAGGCTGCTGGAGAACATGCGCTGCAGCAGACTACGCTGGCCGAACGGCTGGGCGAGGAAGATGTCTAGCACGCCTCTGACCATTGCCATGGGATTCGAGATGCGCAGAATGCCACGAAGCATAAAGTAGGGCATCATACCGTGCATACGTTTCATCTGCGAAAAAATCTCGGATGAATTATCGCTGCCCATAAAGATCTGGAAGATGGTCGAAGCAAGGCTGATGCGCGCCCACTTGAGCAGCGCTTTGTACTTTTCAGGAAGATCTTGGATGCGAGGTGTTGACTTGATGGTAGCAAAAATGCGGGTTAGTCCATCGTG